TGTTGTTGTTGTTGTTAAGTGCTGTCGAGTCGTTTCTGACTCATAGCGATCCCATGCACAGCAGAACGAAACACTGCCCGATCCCGCGCCAGCCCCACAATCCCTGCTATACTTGAGCCCATCATCGCAGCCACCGTATCAATCCGGTGTGCTATTTCTTGTGTAAAAAGAACACAAATGCGTGTGTACATATATATACATCTGCATATGCATGAAATACCTGTGGGAAGATACAGAAGAATCTAGTAACATAATTTGCTTCCTGGGAGGGGAAGCAGTAGCTGGGACACAGAGGTAGGAGGGAGCCCTTTTACTATATCCCGTTTTGTATGTCCTGACTTTTTAATTATGTGGCTACAGTACCTACTTAAGAGAAAACAAAACCAAAAAACCATCAGAAATAACGAATGGCCTGTAAGAAATGTGACCAGTATCTGTCTACTTCCTTTTTTTTTCCCTCTCCAATTCAGAAGGTCTGAGAGTTTGTGCTCAAATGCTATCTTCGGTACCTCTCAAGGCCTTCACCTTCCTCTCAGTTATTCCTCTAACCTAGGTGAATATGTGGCCTTACAGCACACCTTTAACTGATGTGGGCAAGTCAAAGTCCAGAACGAAGAGACGAAAGCCCTGTGCCCTGAAGCTGTCCCCTCAAAATCCACAAGCTTGAGATGTGCAGCATTGAACCTCATTTTTACCAAATACAGGAAAACCTGCTGCTGGCCCACGCGAAGTGAGGCAATACAGCGAGATGGAGTCCTTACTGCTTTCGTCCGCTCTCTCAAGCTTTTGTCTTCGTAGTGAGGGTGGTTGGTTAAGACCCTTCCTGTGCACAACTTGACTCCGGCCAGCAACTGCATGCTTCCAGCAAACACAGCCTTTCTTGGGGTGTTAGAGCTGAAAGATTATAGAGTCTGAATTAGCCCTGAAGCTAAGATTTCCTCAAAGACAACAGAAAAGACAGTATGATGCTGTTTCAGAATTACCCAGCTTTCTTAGGAAATGTTAAGAGTTGGGAAAATATGGGTGGCTGCTTGGGTTTCTGATTTGCACTCCAAATATTTTAAGAAATTTTCATACATGTTTTTCAATGTTCACTAGTACAACGGTTAGGAAGCTTCTAACTCACTGTTTTCATGGGTTTACTATCGTAATAAATTGTCTTAAGAAGCAAGTAGCTCCTGCATGTAAGACTTCTATGCTAAAACCCATAATCCTCTCCACTGTTGTTCCAGAGGGCCAGATGCTAACATGAAGAGTTTAAAAGACGTCCATTTGTTTTCACTTTAAACTTAACATGTTAAACTTAAACTTGAGTTAAACTTTAAATGTAACAAATTGTAAAGCCAGGAACTACAACTGATCATGAGTCAATTATTAAGATTTTTGCTTAAAACAAAAGCATTACAGATATTATAAACTACTTTCAAGAAAAACAGAATTAATAAAAACAGAAGAACACAGAAAGAAGATTCTGAAGTAGCAAATATCTCATTCAACATAGGAATGTACAATATTTCTAATTGTGGAAAATAAGTATTATATTTTTCTTTTTATAAATTTCTTTCCTTTAGTCCTGATTATGGAACACTACAGGTATCTTAAAGAATACTGGACACCGTAATATTAAATGATGACCTCACTTTCCAATTACCATAGGCTATGATTCTGTCTCCCTATAGAATGTGAAGGACATTGACGGAGGACCAAGGAGAGACTCCTTGAACATGATAAAAGCTTTTATCCTTCTTCCCACCTTCCCAGGGGAAAAAAGAATTTTAGTAATTGATTTAATTCTCTTCCAATTTTGGAAATCTACCCCGTCACTTGCAAACCAATAATGATGTGTGTGTGTGTGCTTTATCATGAAGGACACAACAGCTCTTCCATGGATTTTCCTCAATGGAGTAATGCAGAATTTCCTATAGAGGCCCAATACTACAAGATTAATTTATCCCTCTTCTGTTAAGACAAGAGTCTGCTAGGCTGAGTTAAAAAGAATTTGGTTTTAAGAAGGCATTTAATTGAAATTATTAAAACTCAGCATCCTTTGCAGAAAAAACCGCAGCAGGCTCTTTTCAGTGTTTTCAGACAGCAGGGCATGCAACTTGCTCTGGTGCTGAAGTTTCTAAGATGCCCCATCCTATTTATGTATTTAATAAGTATGCTGCATTTATTCCAACTCAATGTAAAGATCATGGCATGAATGGTCATCCAACTTAGGGCTCAGGAAGTCAGTGAGCAAGAAGTGACCGTTCAAGTTGTAACATTTGCCAATAATTTACTTTCGAAAAAAAAATCAAGATTTTTTAAACAATAACATTCTCATCCACTCACATTCCAGTAAACTTTCTTAAGTATGGAATTAGAGGGAGCACAGTGGGAATGACACAATCAGCATTTGCCTTACCCAGGCCAGAGCCCAGAATGCGCATTATAACAGGAAAAAAGTCGTAAGTGAACTTGGCTGTAATGGATAGGTTGTTGTAGTTCTGACAACCAGATCTTGGTACAAATAAAAAAATACACGCTTGCTCTGTCCCAGCAATTTACAGGGAAACTTTGACATCTGTTCCACATGGTCAGAGGAATACGATGGTTTAAATAAAAACATGTCAAGGTGGCTCAGGGCTCCTTAGTGGAAGATTTTACAGAAATTCAATTAATACTTATTAACTACTTTATTTGATGCCATATATACTGACTACCCTTGTTTAGAGTATAAGAGAATTGCTGAAGAGAAAGGAGATGGACAAATAGGAAAGAAAACATCCTTTTTTCCAAGCAAGTCTTCTCTCCTTTTGTATACTCTCAACTGGCTCTAAACATTTTGCTATAATAAAAGACACAGTAACATCACATATCAATGCCAGAAAGTAGCTGTCTTTGGATCCTGCAACTAAACAGATTTAGAATGCAGGAAGAAAATTAGTCTAGTCTCCACATCTGGCAGAGCATGAGGTGAGAGTGAACAGGTGATGAATTATTCTGGTTTGTAGTCTTACTGCCTACATAGGGGGAACCTGGACTTTCTGCACAGGTGACAAATCCAGCAGCTGAGCTTATAATTCTCATTAATACTGCAAGACTGTCTCAGCATCACTGTTTTGAATATGCAACAGGAATCAGCACCAAGGAGCTGTTCGTTGTTGTTGGTGTTGTGTGCCGTCGAGTCGTTTTCGACTCATAGCGACTCCATGCACAGCAGAATGAAACACTGCCTGATCCCGTGCCAGCTCCACGATCCTTGCTATACTTGAGCCCACTGTCACAGCCACCGTGTCAGTCCATCTTGTTGAAGGCCTTGCCCTCTTTTGTCAACCCTCAACCTTACCGAGCATGACATCCTTTCCCAGGGAATGGTCCCTTCTGACAACATGACCAAAGGAGGTAAGACGAAGTCTGGCCATCCTCGCTTCCAAGGAGCATTTCGGCTGCACTTCCTCCAGGACAGGACTTTCAGCATTCTTCGCCAGCACCACGACTCAAAAGCATCAACTCTTCTTCAGTCTTCTTATTCATTGTCCAGCTCTCACATGCATATGAGGCGATTGGAAGCATCATGGCTTGTGTCAGGTGCACCTTAGTCCTCAAGGAGACATCCTTGCACCTCAGCACTTGGAAGAGTTCCTTTACAGCCGACTGGCCCAGTGCTACATGTCATCTAATGTCCTGACTGCTGCTTCCATTGGCGTCGACTAGAACCAAGCAACGTGAATTCTTTGACAACCTCAATCTTTTCTCCATTTATTGTGATGCTGCTTATTGGTCCAGTTGTGAAGATTTTTGTTTTCTTTATATTGAGATGTAATCCATACTGCAGACTGTATTCTTCAATCTTCATCAGTAAGTGCCTCAAGTCATCCTCACTTTCAGCAAGCAAAGTTGTATCATCAACATATCTCAGGTTGTTAATGATTCTTCCTCCAATCCTGATGCCACGTTTTTCTTCATATAGTCCAGCTTCTCGGATTATTTGCTCAGCATATAGATTGAATAAGTATGGGGAAAGGATACAACCCTGACCCACTCCCTTCTTGATTTTAAGCCATGTAGTGTAGAAGCTGTTTATACTCTATGTTTTATAATTATGGTGGCTGTTATTCAATAATACAATCCTTAAGGGGGAAAGGACATTTGGCAGAGATAGATGACAGACCTTATTATCTAGACATGGCTAAAGACCAACATTTTAGCTGGCTTCCTGGATTATAACCATAACACCTCAATAAATTACATGGTACACAAAGGTTTAAATGTCAAAAGTCCTCAATTGCTCACAGGGGATTTACACCAGTCATTGTTTATTCATTCAAAGTATTACTGAGGGCCTGCTATATGCTAGGCTGGTAAACGTGGTATGCCTGCCTTCAAGAAGCTTACAAGCTAACAGAGCCAGACTCAGCTCCTGTTATAGGCAAACACTTCAAAATAAACCAGTAATTAGTCTATCACATGTTTTATTTATTAATGTTTACTGTAGACCTTTAGCTATGCTATAAACTAAAAACAACGGACATTAAACATGCATCCTTCCTCACTACATTCTGAGAACACTGGATCCACTCCCATGCCCCACCTAGCCACAGCTGGTACAGCCCCCAGAGCAAAGCAAAACCACCACCAGGAAGAGTAAGGTGATATGTCACATAAGTACTCTGTTGAATTGAGAAAAAAAGGAATAAAGCTCATTAAATTGTAACATGTCTTAATCTTTGACCTTTTAAGCAAAGAGTCAGAAAGTTTAAAAGAGATATAATCTGTTTAAACTGTTAGTGTGACATACTCTGGATTGTTGACATACCATCACTAAACTCGTTAATTTTACTTTAAAGTCCCAAAAGGCAAGTACCCTAAAGGCTGTAAGATGAATTAGAAATAACAATTCTTCAACAAGCATTGACTTCTGAGGACAGACGAGATGATGTTTATTCACTTCATTCCATCTGACTTGGTTTTATATGCTAGCCCCACAAAAACCTGAGATTTTTCACCTCCATTTTAACTATTTCATTTTATCTTTAAAGCAAATGCAAAAGGAACAAGCAAAACATGACAAAATGAAAAACAATCACACATTTTTGGAACTTGAAATACCAATATTCATGCTGTTTTCTATTTCCTGTGGTAACTTACTAGGAGTCTGGTAGCAAAGTGCCTAAGGCCTTTGACCACTAACCAGAAGGCTGGTGGTTCCATTCCCAGGAAGGAAGACTGGGCAGTCTACTTCCGTAGTGATACTGCCTTGGAAACCCAAGGAGGGGTTGCTACGAGTCAGATCTGACTCAACAGCAGTGAGTTTGGTTTTTTTGGTTTTTGGTGGTAACTTAGCAGACAAAGGGAGAAAGGATTCTGTGTCCTTAACTTCAAATATGCAGTAAGACAGAAAGAGTGGTGGGCACTCTTCCTTCACAGACACTTTACTTGATACAGTCTGTGGTCTGTATCTAAAATAGCTAATGTGCTTTTTAACCACTGAATGACACTTTTCTATTATAGAAAAACAAAGCAATCTTTACAAATGTTTGAATAAATGATGTATAAAATGAAAAGATAATTTGTTTTTATAGCTCTCTGCCAAGCTCCATAGCAGGCTGCCCAACCTGCAAACAATTTATTCTGTAAGAAATGTCACTAAATAATGACAAGGACTCACAGGTCAAACAGATTTACATTATATAATTTAAATGTCATTCGAGGAGGACCTGATGGCATTTTGAACAAATCATCTCATTTATTTTTGAAGCTCTAAGCTTCAACAAATTAATTACTGTTGAACTAATGGGTAAACTGAGCATTATAATAGAATGTGTGAGCATTTGCTTTATCTACACTTCGAAAATTTACAGAATTATGCAAATACCACAAAATGATTCATTAAATATAAAAGAGGTTTACAGGCATTTAAGGTCTGAACTTAACCTATATCATATTTAAAACATGCAGTAATTCCTGCTTTGATTTAATGTGAGGAAATCTGGTACTTTTTTTTTCCATCTCATTGCGAAAATATTATACGTATAGGCTTCATTACTGAAGAGAGACTGTTATTTCTAGAGAAATTCTCCTAAAGCCATGTAGTTAAAGTTACACTTCAAAATATTCAAACCTACTGATCCACTTGTCTTTACTGCACAATGTCAAATAAAATTTTCAGGAACCAAAAATGAGACACTCAAGGGCACAAAGGTACAAGGTATGAGCCACTGATCACTGTGGCATTCATCCTTGCTGAAATAAATGTGTTTTCTAATCACACCCTAAACCTATAAAAAACTGCCTGGTGTTTGCTGAAACAGATAACAGATGGTGACAAAACCCAGGAAACATTATCAACAAAGGTAAATATAAGTGTTTAAATCTGAGTGAAAACAAAGAGGGTGGTTGACCTTAGTGTAACAGGGAAGTTAGTCAAGCAGGTGAACAAATACAGGCTAGGGGTGTGGAAGGCAAAGGGGTGATCTGAAATGTTCTTACAGGAAAGGCAGCTGGGCTATCACACCTTGGGGACCCAATTTCAACAAAACATCATTACAGATCAGCGAGAAATTTAATTCGTAAGTATTCGTCTTGGTTTTATACCTAAACTTAAATCCCCACACCTCTACGAAGCTACAGAAGTGTATAAACCATTTTCTATTATTAAAAATTAGAACTCTAAACAAATTCTTCAACTAAAACCTGTTAAGCTTCTGAACATTTTAAAACTGAATGTATGGTAAAATGAATGAACTCCCTAGGTAGTGTAAAAGGTGCTCTAGTGGTGCAGTGCCAAAGGCATTGACTGCTAACCAGAAGGTTAGTGGTTCAAACCCACCAGTTGCTCTGCGGAAGGAAGATGGGACAATCTACTTCTGTAAAGCTTTACCACCTTGGAAACCCTATGGGGGTTACTATGAGTCGGGATCGACTCGATGGCAGTAGGTTTGGTTTTTTGTTTAGTTGGTGCAAATGATTAATGCTCTTGGCTGCTAACTAAAGGCTGGACATTTGAGTCTACTCTGAGGCTCCTCAGAAGGCCTGGTTATCTACCTCTGAAAAATAGGTCACCAAAAACCCCTATGGAGCACAGTTCTAATCTGGTAAGATGGAGTTACTATGAGTTGTAGTTGACTCAACGGCAACTGGCTTTTGGCATTACCGTAAAAATGTGGAAGAAAAGAATAAAAACAGTAATACTGAAATGAGGCTCAAAGTTGACCCTACTGAAGAGGCAATTATAACGGACTGCTTAACAATGTTTAAATGTTTCATGCAGTATTCTATATATACATAGTTGGTGCTCCAGAAACATTTGTTGAATGCTGTTAATAATGATCTAACTTCAGACATGAAACAATTTGATATACTAAGGCTTTAAATGTTTTCATAAACATCCAACCCCTTTAGTAGGATCACTCTCATATTAATTAGTGTTATCCTGAAGTAATGCCCTTGATTTTCCTTTTAGACTATAAAAGGGATGTTTAGAGCTGTATCATCTATAAGAACCCCTCCTTGGGTTTCCGAGGCAGTATTACTACGGAAGTAGATTGCCCCATCTTCCTTCTGAGGAGTGGCTGGTGGGTTTGAACCACCAGCCTCTGGTTAGCAGTCAAGTGCCTTTAGGCACTACGCTACCAGAGCTCCTATAAAAGATCTTAGTCCCTCCAAAAGAAAAGAAAAGAATGAACTCCTACTTGAGGAGGTGCAATTTCTCAATTTACCTTCAAAGTAAAGAAGTCTTCAGCAAATACTTGCAGAGACCTAACCTCCAAATGGAAGTCCAGTGGTCCCTGACACATAACAGGTATGCCTACTGCAGGTGTGTGCTTTACTACAGCGTCGAGTACATGAAGTAGGGATGGAGATGGACGAGCTTCTTCTCAACACTTTACGTGAGAATAATCCCCAAACAAGGGTCACTTGCGGTGATCCCCAGTGTTTCTGCAGGTCACTGTTTCTCTGGAACCGACTCAGCAACGGCAGCTAGCTCCTCCGCCCTCTCCCCACCAGATGTCATCACGACTTCATCAACAATGGACATCTGAGGCTTCCCACTCTGACTGAGAGCAGACCTGCTGGCTGCTTTCAGATCAACCCACACAGCTATTCTCTAGCACATCTCAGACCTACTAATATTGTGAACGTTATGTGACTAATTATAGTGGCAAAATGGTAGTTGAAGGTCATATTTTATGTTTACAAATTAAGACATCACTTACTTCTGTTTCGAATCTAAGCCTACGGACCAGAGCTGATTTAAATATTGATTTAAACAAACATACTTTGTGTCTAAACAGACCCCGTTTTGGCATACACTCATCATCACTTAAGCTTATTTCACAAACATGCCTAGCAGCTATTTTTACAAAAATGTTAATTCAGATTGGAAGAATTTTAAGGGAAACCAGGCAAGATTAGATCACAATGGAACCAATTTTTGTGAATACAAATCCTTCAATTGCTGAGAATTTATTTTTAAAAAAGTCAAAGAAGTATGTGTACAAAGGCACTAACCAGGAAGAAGAGCTGTTAGGAGACGAATCTAAGGAACAAAGATCACTTCTTCTGATGAGAGAAATGAGTAACAGACTAATAAACTGTCTTCTGCAGACGCAGAATACGCCCTTACCAATAATTTTTCAGAGACAGAAATGTTACTTTGACTTTAAGTACTTTTCTGTGAGGAAAGGCATGAAAATAAAGGGCTTACAAATAAATACAGCCAGTCTCAGACAGCCAGACACAACCTGGGGCTCTGCTGGAATGAAATTTTAATGGCTCTATAGTTAATTCCAGAAACGGGAGTGAAGGGGGGGTATATATAATGCTAATCTAGGTAGATCCAGAAACCCACTGTCTTAAGGATGCTACAAGAGAGTGAGTGCCCTATAGCATTGATTCCAACAGTGTAATTTTAAAAACAGAAAATATCAGCCTCACCTTCAGAGGGACAAGTCATAAATTTCCAGGTGACTATAGTTAATGCAAAAGTAATTAGCTTTTCTTTATATGAATAAGCCTTTTTTCCTATATACAACAAATATTTAAAGAATTATTTACTTGATAATTATCTGCCATGATTTAAAATTAAATAAATAGACAAAGACAAAGCACTGCTTAGCACTCTCAGCCCTGGAAATATGTGAAAATTATACTTACTGCATCTAGTCAAACCCAGACTGACATTCAGACCAAAGCCACATGGATATTTTAGACACAAATCTCTATAAAATCCACATATTGTACTCAAGAGACCTAAGCTATCAAACATTTACCATCTCTTAATACACAGCAGTGCTAAACTGCACTGGTTACTAAACATTAGTCACAAGCAAGTGCCAATACGGCTCCTACAATTCCAAGTGATGGAAACAATACAGCCGACGCTTTCAGGGTATGTCACACAAGATTTGCAACATCTATTTATGTGTGAATAATTACACTGCTGCTTTTTGGTAGTAAGTAGGGAAACAGAGTACTACAGGGCACTGAAATGTTGCTGGGGTAGTTTATTTTTGCTGATGGGAGGTAGGTTTTGGCACACAGCTTTGAAACACACGAATTTCATTCTGAGGCTAAATGCTGAGGCAAAGGAACAAAGTGCAGGTTAAAAATAAGAACTGATAGTATTGTAATGTTTAGAGAGAAAAAGTTCTAATTTTTGTATTTTAAATTTTCTTGGACAATATGATTAGTTAAAAGGAAATGTGAACTGAGCTATCAGGACTCTAATTGTGGCTTATAGTACAATTTTTAAATGATTAACAAGGACAACTTTCAAATGTCAGCACTAATAGAAACTCTGGCTGGTAGTTAAGTAAAAGAAAATGATAAGAGATAAAACTGGCAGAAACATAGCGTAAAACTTTTACGTTTTAAGAAAGATGATAAATAAGATTTTCTTTCTATATCTGTCAGTGGATTGAAATTTATCTCCCTAGGCTGTTTCCCTCTCCAAAGAGTACCTTCCCTTCTTCTTGAGACTGTGGTTGGCAGAGACTATTTCTTGAATAGAAAGGAATTATTTCCAAATGTAGACTTTTAAAGAAAAATGTATTCAGAGTGAATGCTTCTTCACAATCAAGTTTAGAAGAAAAAAAACAAAAAAAACAAATGAGGTCTGCAGTGATTCTTAAAAGGCATTAAAAATTTTAAAAGGTTAAAAAATTCCTTACTTAATCCAGTTCATCAGCTCCACTGTATCTGGATCATAGAATTCTCTCAACTCGGAGAGTTCATCCATCATTCCTGGCCAGAACTGAAATTAAAAACAAAACAAAACAAAACAAAAAATCCACCCCATGCCCACAACTATCACTAATATTAAATGAAAAGAAAAATTGCATATAATTTATTATCATCTGCTCTGAAGAGTAAAATGTATTCTCAAGGATGAAATGGTACTGTTACCATTTCTACAAAGGATGGTGTAAGATAACACCATTTTATAGAACTTTGTTTTTTCCTCACAGTAACCTGTTGAGGTAGATGATACAGCAGGCATCATGATCACAGCTATTTACTTCTCATTCTACAAGTGAGGAAATTGTGTCTCAGAGAGGTAACTTGACTTCACCAGAACACAAAGTGGCAGACTTTGAACCTGATTCCAAATCCAGCCCCCTTTCCACTGTGTGATATGGTGAATATATTTTTTGAACTAGAAATTCAGCTCAAATCTAGACAAACAGTTTGATGTATACTACTAGTTCCAAGTACAGTGGGCTTGTCAGGGAAATCTGGTACATTTGAATATTATATCTATACCAGGACTGTCTGCTGATTAATTTGGGTTACTTAACGTTATGCAGATACAATGCAAAATTACACTCTGAATTTGCCACCTACCTAATAGAACTATGTATGCTTAATTGAATAATTAATTCAATCTCAATTGTTTGATTAACTGATGTTTGACTAAAGAAACTTGATCATCTATATGCCTCCTCAGGTTAACTGCAGAATTCACTTCATATATTGTAATACTGTACCAGAAGACCACTGACAATGTATCTATGTTTCAGTGATGTTGAAAAGATAAAACTTTACGTACCACTAACTAGAACCAAATTAGCACCTGACTGGGTTGTGACAGGGCTGTGTTTTAGCCCTATCACTTTCTTATTCTGTCATTTCATCTTTGGTTATTTTTACTGCTCATTCATATCTTATCTCCCAGGTGACTGATTCAAGAAAATTGCTGGAGAAAAGAAGTTACATGTCAGCACTTCTGGTTCTAGTTTTTGGAAGAGATGTAATAAAAACTGATTAGATGATACTCTTGTAATATTTTAACCATCCATTATTATTCTGATCATCAACAGAATACCTACTTTTAATGATATGCTCTAAATCTTTTGGTATAAAACATATTTTCAACTCTGTCACTCAATGGATATTAGATATTTTTTTTCCAGTTTGAAAGTTGCTAGTATTAATCTGAAAATATAAAACTCTAGTAATATATTCTGTAACAAAATCCTTAAAGTGAAAGTCAGTATTTTGAATTAATCAAAGGCTATTGTTAAATAAGTTACTGAAACTACATTAGCAATTTTATTAAAACTCTTGACTTCAATGTGGAGACTAGTATGTTTTCACTTTTAAACAGGATTATCCAGAAGAGAGATTGAGCAAAACTGGTATTGTGGTCAAGCAATTCTGAAACTACCATTAAAACTGCATGTAAACCTCAGATCAGGGTTTGAAAGATATGAATTCACATGACTTCAATAATTCAAAAATCTGGTCAATAGTTGAAAAATAAATTCTGATTCACAGGAACACTAATATATATCTAAAAAGAGCACTGTTGGTGCATTCGTTAAAAGTACTTGGCTACTAACTGGAAGGTTGCAGTTTTCAACCACCAGCTGCTCTGTGTGAGAAAGATGTGAGAGTCTGCTTCTATAAAGATTATGGCCTTGGAAAACCTATGGAGCACTTCTACTCCATTGTGCAGGGTTGCTATGGGTCACAGCTGACTCCATGGCAGTAGGTTTGGTTTTTTTTTTCCCAGTTGGAGACATTTTTGATTGTCCCGCTGGGGGTGGGGAGGGTGCATCTAGTGGCTCTACGTAAAGACTAGGGATGCTGCCACACATCCTACAATGCACAGAACAGCTCTCCGCAATAAAGGATTACTGGTCAAAATGTTAATACTGTCGCTGGTGAGAAACTCCGCTACAGAGGTGAGATTTCTCATCAGCGTCACTTGGGGAGCTGGTTAAAACATACTCTTCTGGACCTCACACTCAGAGTTTCTGGTTGGGTTGGTCTGGAGTGCGACCCAAGAATCTGAATTTCTAACAAGTTCCCAGGTGACGCTGCTGCCGCTGGTCTGGGGACCACACTTAAAAAGCCAACTGCTCTGTAGCATAGTTTATTTATTCTATAATGTACTTCCTCATTTTTATCAAGAACAAGAGAACCCAAATAGCTTTCAAAAAATGAATAAAATTTTAAATAAATAACTGAGACAAAACAACTTAACCTACACATACAGAGACAGTGAAAGGGATTCTAATAGTTTGTATACATCTTTATGGTGAGAAAAGAATCTGACTGCTAACCAGAAGGCTGGTGGTTCAAAACCACCAGCCAATCCTTGGAAAGAAGGTTGGGCAATCTACTTCTGCATCGATACTGCCTCGGAAACCCAAGGAGGGGTTGCTGTGAATCGGGGCTGACTCAACAACACATAACAAAGCTGTATCTATTTTTGTGAGGAGGGTGTTTTATCTCAAGATCAATGTATAAAGGTAAATTCATCTGATTAATTATGAAAGACATACCCTAATTCCTTAGTTGTTAACTTTCAAGGTGTTTTGAGTAAGTTTCACTTATGTACGTACGTCACAGTAATAAAATTCCCGGGAGCTCTGGTGGTGTAGTGCCTAAGGCACTTGACTGCTAACCAGAAGGCTAGTGGTTCAACCTCACCAGCCACTCCTCGGAAGGAAGATGGGGCAATCTACCTCTGTAGTGATACCGCCTTGGGAACCCAAGGAGGGGTTGCTATGAGTCAGGTCCAACTTGACGGCATATAACAAAACAATAAAATTCCCAGAGGCAGGGGGCAGAAATGTATTTCTAGGAGTTATTAGCATAGTATTCTGCCCATAATATGAAATGTTTTTGACAGAGGAACATGATAGAACATAGTTTTAAAAAATATTTTTAAAAAATTTACAACAGAATAATCCAAAATAGTGATTATCAACCTTTTCTTCTTTTAGTCTAAGACCTCTGACTGAAATAAAATTTACATAAAAACATAAGTAAATAAAACTGAAAGCTGAGCTACTGGAGCCAAGCCCCTCAGTGAGTGACTTCCCCCACCTGAATTCAACAAGATCTCCCAAACTAAGGGCTCTACATAGTAGAGTTTGAAATCCACTATTCTAACTGTAAAAATTAAAAACTTGAGGAAAAACATCTAAACTTAAAAAAACATGCAAGATTTTTTCAAAAGGGACGGCAAGAGCTCAATTTGATAAGACAATCAATCTATGCTAACTTCCTAGGTGAAAATTCAAGCCTCTGAATCTCAATGAAGTGATAGGAGTCACAAAGTTGTCAACCTGATCCATGACTCATTTTTCTCTTACATTCTTAGACTTGAATCACAGTTAATGCTTAAGAAATTAGTCAACTGAGACTAGGAAGAAGTTCATTATTTCCTAATGAAACCAAACAACAGATAAAAAAGTTAATCCTTAGACTGTACTAATTTGTATATGTGCCCAGCTCTGTTACAAAGATGACCTGAAGCAGCTAATAAAATATGTACATTAAAGTAAGATACACTTAAAAATCTTTTAAATCTCTTAAAAATCAGGTAATGGGGAAAATAATTTTTCTACTTTATTCATCTCAAAGTAAGTTTGAAATCATTTTCAGAGTTTAAGAATAGTAAGATTTATATACCCACACTAATTAGAACAACTAAATTCTAGCAGTTTTTGCTATAGTTCTTTTACTTGTTAAGAAGTATTTGGAAAATAGATCAATTCTCCTGCCAATTCCAATTATCATAAAAAGCTAAGGAGGTATTTGTACCTCCACAAACCTATTATAACCTCTACAACTACTTTACTGGCCAAATAATACATTGGCCAGTGCACAAAGTACATTGAGTCAAAGCATTTATTTGGCTACATGGATCAATGACAAGAGTGAGGAAAGCCAGTCTTACCTTATAGCAGAGATACAGCAGTATTAACATCGGTACTGAATATCGCATTACACATATCTACATGAGAAAGAAACTATTTAGATTACAAGTATTTTGAATAACTGCACTATTAGGAGCTCTGGTGGGTGTAGTGGTTAAAACACTGGGCTGCTTAAAGATTTACAGCCTTGGAAACACTTTGGGGCAATTCTCCTCTGTTCTATAGGGTTGCTATGAGTCAGAATCTACTAGATGGCAGTGTTTTGTTTGTTTGTTTGTTTTAAATCTTAAATTTGTTCCACAAAACAAACTGAGTCAGTGTAAGGGTTCCAATCATATATAGCTTCTACCATGTTGCTATCTAGCTAACAACTCAAAACTGCATTTGTAGGCTATTAATCATTACCATATTCTTATTAATAATAATTTTTAGGAAAATACATTAGCAAAAGAACAGTGATAACGCTAGGAAACAGGATTACTGGGTGATTTATGATTTTCTTTTTGAACACAGCTAACTTATTACCTGAGAAACAATAAATGATACATTTAAAATATAAATGAACACAGCCAACTTATTACCTGAGAAACAATAAATGATACATTTAAAATATAAATGAACACAGCTAACTTATTACCTGAGAAACAATAAATGATACATTTAAAATATAATTAAATTGTAATATATCACTGACCTATTTTAGCTTCAAATTTTAGTGTCTATTTTATCAGATTGAGTTATGGGCAGCTACTGAAAAATAGTGAAGTGGTATGAAAGAAATACTAACAGTCATAAAAATAAAATGGAAAAAAGGGACAACACTGACCCTCTTTGGGTTATAGAGATGGACCAGTTTCAGAAGTAACTCCCATATTTCAGGGCTGCACAAGCCAAATGAGGCAAACACGCACATGTGTGATGTCCAGAGGTATTTCATTCTGTAACAGCAGAAACAGGCAGATAGGCAAAAGTCAACAAGTACTAAATCCACTTCTCACTCATCGACATGATTAGGTTCCAAAGACCAGGTCGTTGTGTGAAAATTGGTCTTACGCAAAAACGGAGAATGACTACATCAGATCATAAAATGGAGGATGACTACATCATTACATAACTGCTGCATAACATCATTATAAAACTGCTGAACAACCGAGAATCATGGCCCAGCCAAGGTGACACATAAACTCAATTATCACAGTCACAGTGTTATTCCTGCCTTGCACCTTGGTGCTCATTACTGCCACATGCACACTGTAAATGCACAAAGCAGTTGGAGAGATTTTTTACTATTGCTGTAAATGTGAAATGTTGGCTAATGAGATAGCTGATAAGAGAAAAGTGGGTGTAGACTTGTACTCTGAGACAGCTGGAAAGGTAGCTTTACAGTCTGTGACAGGAATCATACTGACACTAAAATCTGCTAAAGAGTTGGCTATGCGTTTCATGGCTCTTTGTGAGCTATTATATAAGTTAACTATAGGGGCATGTTTATAATTAGAAAATAATGGGTTATGAATATTTTGTACTGGGAAAAGACATTAGCAAACCAAGGCAATTTTATGGGA